TTATTATTATTATTATTATTATTATTATTATTATTATTATTACAACCCATCATCAGAATAGGGCCTTAATAATGATCTAATGTTCTCTGGTAGAAAGTTTAGACTGTTAGAGCCATGCATATGTCCCCATAATTTTGGAATCCATCCATCCATCCATCCATTTTCTATACACCGCTTAATCCTCACTAGGGTTGCAGGGGGGCTGGAGCCTATAATTTTGGAATGATGTGTTAAGAAAAAAATACATATGAGTGAAATGTTCATTGTCCACACACTTTTGCCATGTCGTGTGCCTGGTGAAGATTTTTACAGGACTGGATCTCTTATCCGTCTGAAGATGCCTTTTTCTTGCAAATCGTCATAACCCACATCATACCCACACACATTTTCTGCATTTGAAAGCAAAATCTTAGTTTAAGTCTTCCTATCAATGACATGATAAATTTTGCGATAAACAGCTTGTAGGCAGTGTCAGACTTCAGAAAAAAACATTTGTTACTACTATGATCTAAATTATTTCTTAGTTGTCTAGAGATGATTGTTGGATGCTTCAACACAATCTTTTTCTCTCTGTATCTGTATCTGTATCTGTGTGTGTGTGTGTGTGTGTGTGTGTGTGTGTGTGTGTGTGTGTGTGTGTGTTGGGGTGGGGTTGGGGGGTGAGTGTTTATTCTTGCTTGTATGCTTTTATGAGACATTCTTGTAGTTGTGACATATGTGACCCATCTGCACGAAATCAGTCACATTGCGCCTTGGACTATATCCATGATACAGCTCAAATTTAAGACATGATAAAATATTGATTTTGGATTTACTACTTACATCAGTCCATTTAGTTGTTTTCTACATGTAGGTAACATATGAAGGGTTAATTTGCAAAAACAGATAGCTCCATTTTGTTAATTGGCAATTCTAAATTGTCTGTAGGTGTGAATGTGAGTGTGCTTGGTTGTCTGTCTCTAAGTGTAGCCCTGTGATAGACTGGTTACCTGTCCAGGTGAACCGGCCTTCACCTTAAGTCAGCTGGGATAGGCTCCAGCCCCCCATGACCCTAGTGAGGATTAAGCGGTGTATAGATAATGGATGGNCCGGACTACCAGCCTCAGACAAAAACTTTTCTCTCATTAAACGAAGAGGACCATGCACAGTGTGACCAAACACTAAATCAGCAAGACTGAAACCAGTGATTTCCTGCACACTTCCTCTAAAAGCCATCAGAAGGAACGACAAACCTTCATCCCAATCTTTACTACTTTCAAGGCAATATTTTTTCATCATAGATTTTAGGGTTTGGTGAAAATGCTCCAGTGCTCCTTGAGACTGTGATTGATAGGCACTGGACGTTCTGTGTTTTATGGACAGGGATGCAAAAACCTGAGCAAACAGTTTGGAAGTAAAATTAGTTCCTTGATCTGTTCGGATGTATTTTGGTAAACCAAAGATGGAAAAGAAGTTAACAAGAGCCTTGACAATAGTTTTAGCTTTGAGAGTGCGCAATGGAATTGCCTCCGGATAACGAGTGGCGGTGCACATCAAAGTTAACAGATACTGATGACTGGACCCACACAGTCAAGAATAATATGTTCAAAAGGTTCTCCCAACACAGGAATGGGCTGCAAAGGAGCAGGAGGATTTTTTTGATTAGGCTTCCCACTGATTTGACACACATGACAGGAGCGACAAAGTTGGGCGACGTCTGACTTAAACGTGGCCAGAAGAAATAATGGAGAATACGATGATACGTTTTCTTTATTCCTAAGTGACCAAAGATATTTTCAACTGAGCACCTGGGAAACGAAACTTTGTGGGACCACCACCTGCTGAACGGAATTCCACCCTAAATCACCAGCAGCTGGAGGATACCAGTGGCACATCAAAACACCATTCACGACATTGTACACACGGGATGTCTCAGACTCTGGAGCAGCGGCAGCAGTGAAACATGGAACCAGAGTGGCATCACTTTTCTGAGCTTCAGTAAGCGCACTTCTATCAACATCTAAGGCCAGCTCCGCCTCAGCGGGCAGCAATTTATCACGAATCTTCTTCTCCGTTTTGATTGCAGGACACTCAGATCCATCGGACTCTTCCTTTTGTGCAGCAGGAGACAACAATGAATCAGCCAAATCCAACACGTCAGCAAATTTACGTGACTGTGCGCGAGTCACCGCACAGGCAGGGAACACAGGATTGGCAGCAGACACAGGGGAACTACAGTCTGACACAGGTGCTTCAACCACCTCAGGTGTGGGAAAAACTTTTTTTCCTGCCAAATTGTTACCTAGGATGAGGGCGACATCTCTTACTNGTTCAAACAGGTGATGTCCAGGGTGGGAGGGGTCTCTGATTATATTTTGTGCCTTTCTGAGGCAACAAGAGCTGTATAGTTCATCAAGGGAAGGCAGAGGATAGCTGGTGATTTTCTGGGCCATATTGACGACCCTTTGGAGAACCTTCTTGTCTGCTATTGCGCAGCTGGCAAATCAAACACACATGCAGTAACCAAGGATGCTCTCTATGGAGCAGCGATAGAAGGCCACTAGCAGCCTCTGCTGCAGGTTGTTGCTCCTGAGGACCCTCAGAAAGTGCAGTCTCTGCTGGGCCCTCTTCACAGTGGTTGCTGTGTTTGTGCTCCAGGTCAGGTCGTCCTTAATGTGTACACCCAAAAAGTGAACGTTACAAACCCTCTCCACAGAGTCCCCACGGATGAGCAGTGGCTGCATGTCTGTCTTCTTCTTTCTGTTGTCCACAATAATCTCCTTTGTTTTGGTTGTGTTGAGGATCAAGTTTCGTTGACACCACACTGATAGTTGCTCCACCTCGTCCCAGTATGCAGTCTCAAGCCCACAGAGATGAGCCGCACCACAGTGGTGTCATCCGCTGCTGTTACTGTGGTGGAGGGGAACACAACCATGAGTGTAGAGGGTGAATAGCAGCAGACTCAGCTCACAGCCCTGGGGGGAGCCGATGCTGAGATTGATGGCCAAGGAGAGGTAGGGGCCTATTTTCACCTTTTGGGATCGGTCCGTCAGGAAATCCAAAATCTAAAGGCAGATCGAGTGGTACACTCCCAGGTCTGACAGTTTAGTTACCAATCTGCTGGGGAGAGTAGCTGAGGGTAGCTCTGTCTACTTTGAACTCTAATCAAGAGTAGAGCACGTGCCCAACCGTCTCGTTAAGTTCAACAAATTACTTGACGAGGCCAAAACTTTATTTTTGAGTAGTTTTGATATTTATTTTATTCACTTTTGTACATGCAGTTGTCATGGTCCTCCATAGTTTCTTATTAATTTGCTCAAAATGGAGTGAAAATATGTTGTTTTGTGCCCTTTTTTAAAATTTTGTGCAGTTTTGTACATGCAGTTGTCATGGTTCAGTTACTATCCATGGTTATATGCTCTGAAATGCATGTTGCACAGGAAAAAATATTGAATATTGAATTCTAAAAAAAAATTGGGTCGCAACTTAATGACCATGGGAAAATGTGGGTCCCAGGGTGAGACCAGTTGAGAACCCCTGATCTAGATAGACTTCACAATTTTTCACACCTGCGAGGACTCTATGCATCAGCCTCTGGAAAGTGGCAGGGGCATTGCGCAGACCAAAAGGCATCACCGTATACTGAAGTAAACTGTCAGGACTAACAAAAGCACAAATCTCTGATGCACGCTGAGTTAAAGGAANAGAAAACTTTGTAAATTTTCTTTTCAACACAGACTTGGCCCTCATATGTAA